CCAAAATGTAAATTATTCCTCAACATTCGAGTCTGTAATAAAAAATGACTGCCCTCTGGTGGATGTGTAACAAACGCTCAATTTTTTTTTAGTCTTATAAAAGTAGACTCACAGACTGGTTTCTTTAACACCCCTTCTCTGCAAGTCTTCAATCTACACCATATCAATGAATCGAGTATCAAATGAGGTTTTAAATAGCCGAGTCTTCATCTGATTAATTGTAGCCCAGGGGACCAAGACCTGAAGTCTCCATTAGAGAGCGAAGGTCCTGTATTTCGATATCTTGATGATTTCATCACAGAAATCTCACTGAACCGAAGAGCACTCTACAGGAAGATAAATGTTTACGGGAAATTATTTTTAATTAAATGTAGCCTATGATAGTATTTTTCTTACTACTCCAATGATGTTTTCATTAACAAAATGCCCAAGGATGGTTCCCCCTTCTCAGGACTATTAATCCCATAATCTGAACAGCTCTCTGCAAATTTTCAACACGGTGCCAGCAGCAGGAGACAAATGAATGCTCACTTGAGGCTTTATGAATAGTTGCAAAAAAACATGCAGACAAAAGAATTTATAGTATACTCTAGGAACAGTGCATTAAGGCGAAGAGAAACGTGTTGTTTTACTACAGGTGAAAACCATCTAAAAGTTTGTACTGTACAGATTAAAGTGCATATACAATTTGTTACATGTGCATATTGTTGCGACTGGCTACCCACAGCAAGTTTAATTACTTATTTAACATGTAAAGGTCTCAGACTCACAACCTGTCCCGGGGACAATACTTTAAGGATTAAATATACATTCTGTCAAAACATGCGCCTCCTTCAACTATTACTGTAAGTTAAGAAACACTAAATAAAGGTTCAATGCAAGTCCTTCAGATATGTCATCGCACATTACAAAAGTTTTTTTTTATCTACCTTCGTGACGGTTTTTACGACACAGAGAATAAGTCGGAATAGCCCCTCAGATACAGGAAATCAGGAAAAAGTCTTACAGAGGTTTATCCCCCAGAGGGTTTGCCCTAGAATACCACAGCCCCTCAAGCCGATTTACAGCACACACATTTAAGACAAGTAAACAAGAGGAAAGTTTCCTAGAATCACATCTTTTTTTTTTTCCTCTGCGGAGTCTGAGAGGATTGGAAACTCATGTCACACTGCTGGTTGTGTGTCACTATCCATTCTGAGAGGATTGGAAACTCATGTCACACTGCTGGTTGTGTGTCACTATCCATTTGGTTCCGATACCCTAAATTACATTTTTCATTTGTTCCTACTGTATGGGTCAAACTGAGCGGTGTTTTCAGGATCAACAAGCTCTGGCATCCTTAACAAATAAGCAGTCCCTCATGCTCTGGCCATTTTCTTAAGCCACAGAGGAGAAGGTTTGTATTTCTAATAGGCAAAATTTTAATTTTTTAGCATATCTGGACCACTGTATTTTTTTTACATGTCTACTTGTTATGCTCTAAAGCACAGTGGTAACAATACCTCACTTTTACTCCACTTGAAGGATGAAAACATTTTGTTAATAACAATGTGCTGGTGAATGAGAATGTATGGTAGTGGAACTTTTGTATGATTCTGCCAAAAAAACCTTTTTAACATCAAATTGGGAATGTCTGTGTCAGTGTCTGTAACTACAGAGAGGGCTGTGGGAGTCTAGACTATACTACCCAGCCTTGTTGTTGGAGGATTCCATGTTGTTCAAGAAATGGTTGGATGAGACCCTTGGATCAACTAATTACCAGCAAACCAACAAGACAGATCAGACAGAATGGCCTCTTTCTCCTTCTCCAAACCTCTCTTATGTTCTTAGCCTTGAGAGAACATTGGTTCAGATATGATTCTCTCTCTAATGGTGGTGGACTGCTACAGCGCATGCAAAAGGATGAATAAAAATCACTTTCTTTGCTTGTTGGATCAGTAAACCTCCCCCTTCCCCTCAGAGGAAAGAACAGAAAAAGTCATTCCTAAGGTCTCCCACTACCAGACAAGGTAGGGCTTATGTTTGTAGCGCCCCCTCTCTTTCCTGTGTAAAATGACGATCCTATCACAATGCAGCGATCTGAGTAAAAAAGTATCCATCTCCTGTGATTAAGAATGAACTAAAATTCCTCTGCTTTAAATTCTGTTCTCTTTCTCTTAGAATCAGTGGCGAAGGTGCTTGTGTTACTTGTGAAAGTGTTAAATTTTTTCTTAATGATTATGAACGTCAACCAGGCATGCACTTTCTGTCATTTCTCAGATTGCCCCAAAAGGCAAGTCTTTAACAAATCACACTGAAATGTAGACAATAAAACATTACGAATCTGGTACCATTGGAAGCCAAGTGGAAATGAACAATTCAGTGGACAAAGCATTTGTAGGTCATAGAGAGGTCAGCTTTGAAGGACAAATGCGAATTAAATATAAACATGGCATCACAGAAACCCAACAAATCTCCCACAGCTTTGTCCAGCCAGCACTAATCTATACATCAACTGTGGTGAATAATCTAAACAAACAGATCTGACGCTTCATGCATCTGGAAGTTGTCATATTTTCAAACTTGCAAAACTGCAGATTAAACATTTTGACCCACACAAAGGCTTGCAGTAGACTTCAGAATTAAGAAGCAAACAAAAACCCCACATAAGGTATGCAAAGTAAAAATAAATGTAGCGGCAAAGAATTCAGAAACGTTTTAGCCGAGAAATCTTTATTAAAGATTATCTGTAGCTGGATATGGAATTCTGTGCATCATTAAAAAGAAGGCCATATTCAGACCTGAGCTCCACTCTACCTGACAGGCTTGCTAATGGGAATTCAGCACTTTGCCAGAGAGACTGTATTCAAATACTTTCAAATCAACAGATTTATAAAGACCCAATAGACTGAAGAGTAGAGAACAAGGGCTTCAGAAAAGCTTTAAAACTAAGACTGAACAAAACTGTTGATCAAAGGAGACACAGCCTTTGTTTATTGCCCATGCCTTAAAAGATTGGAAGTGGAGACAGTTTTTAGTACATCGATTTGTGGAGGGTAAGGGGGTTAAGTGTGAGGTAATAAATTATACTTAACTATATTCAACTTAATTGTACACACAAAAAAATGAATTGGTTTAAAACTAGATCCATATTTCCTTAAAATATTTCTCCTTATTACTGAACTGCCTCCTATTCAGTTCTGCTTCACAGAAACACAAAAGACCTGTTCAGTGTAGATCAGTGACTGATTCCAGGACATCTCCTGGCACGAATGCAATACAGCACAAGCTTACTTCATTCAACAACTTCAATGAAGAAATGGGTTCTGTAGTAACGTCTGTGGTATTTCTCAAACAGTCTGCAACAGCCTAACAAAACACTGCACAATGGTAAAAATAAAATGGAAAATAGAAATGCTATTCATAGTTCTAAATAGCATTACACTGTCAGTGCCCCTCAATCACAAATTAATCTATTTGTGTAGTGCCCATATTGAAGATCAGAGCTTCAAACACTCTGACAGGAACATAACACATTTTCAAGCCACGCAAATGGAGAACAGAAGAGACCTACAGCAATGGTTCTGGGGCAGCAAGATCTGTTCCAGTTTCTGATCCACATGAATTCTTAATCACAGTCTACCCGACCTCTTTTTTCTATCTGGGGCATATTTTAAAAATTTGCTTCCAGCTCTTCAGAGGTTTTTTGTCATCTAAAATGCTCTGTAATTGGCATCAACCCTATTCCGATCTCTGCATTTCAAGAACTATCCAATTTCAGGTGAGCTGGTTAACCTATAGCTAATTGGACCTCTGCAGAAAGAAAAGAGGTAGGTGTCATTTGACACATTGTCATTCCCACCTCTATGTGTTCAGCATTAATTGGTGACCTATTAAGACGTGGTTTGGTTTAGTGGTTTGGTCATTAGGATGAGGAAAATAAGGAGAGGCTATTTAAAATGATGGTTGCTGAAGTTATTTGAGGTAGAGTTTACTGAAAATTAAAAGTTCATCATAAATATCATAAATGTGAGGAGGGAGATGTATTATTTGGAACAAAATGTTCATTTTATGAAAACGTACCCTTAAGGCACTATCCTATAGCCGTCTGAAGAATTCTCCACATTCTCTGCAAATTAATTGTATCAACCGTTCTTTGCAACGCAATTAAAATGGCGAAAGAGAATTTTTTACAGGTTAATCTCAAGTTTACTAATTAACAGAAATTTAAAAATGGAAATGGGTTAAGACGGATAAGAAAATTTAACTATTTTAACTACAGCAATTAATGAAACATTTGCGAAGCTCCTTTAAGCCGTTTTACCCTTCCTTTAATTATCTATTCAGAATTTCTATACCCTTTGTTTTCAACTACTGGAATGTAGATCAAAGAAGGGGAAAAACTTTAATTGAACTTCCCCCATTCCCGAAGTCTACCTTTTCCACAATTTATTCTACGAACCTAATCGAAAAATGAATTACTTTTAATCTCTATTTGCCAAAACATATTCATCTACTTTGCAAGTATGCGTTTCATTCTGTACTTTACTTTTTTCCGCTTTTACTCAGAGACAAATGTTTTTTTCAAAGTTGAAAGCTGTCCAAAACAGGACCACACACAGACTCTCCGGGCTGCACAGATCAGATTCTACTGCTGGGGCACACACACACACAAAATGGCGGCTTTTTACAGAATTTTATATATATATATGCACACTATACGTACGTCTTTTTTTCCTCTTCCACGTTAAATAAGAAAAAAAACAACTTGAGAAATGCCATTCCTCTAGAACCCTTATCAACTCCCTTCATTTCACACTTTCCCTTTTACAAAACTGTAACACACAAATCACAGCAAATTCTTTTCAAGTTTTTACCTGGCTCTTTGCCAAACTGCTGCACAATAAACAATCCCTCCAGTTTATTTGGCATACACCTCTCCCCACCCTTGTATTACTCTTAAAACTAAAAAGCGCAAGAATATTTTTAGCAATAACTAAAATTTAAGAAGGGGTTCTTACCTTCAACCCACAGTTTCTCCACGTTGGTTTCTAGATTAGCTGCCCTTAATCCCACAGCAAAAGCTCCAAATATTAAGAGGCCAACAACTAAAAACTTTCCGCAGTTCTTTTGTATGTAACACCCCAGTTTAAACAAGAGTCTCTGGAACTTTGCTCTCAGCCACAGTGGTGCCTTTCTTCCAGTAGCCTTCCCCTGCGACGAAACAAGAAAGTCCAAAAGTTACTTGTTAGGAATGTGTTTATCCACTGTAAATATCTGTAATGAATGCTCGGTTATGTAAGTGACTACCTGTAACACGTCAATTTTTTATCGGAATACGACATTAAAAAGATCACATTTTCTATTTTGAAAACTTTGCTGCTGCAAGATGCGGAGGAAATGATAGACGTCGTGTCAGCGATTTCTTGTGTCACTTGTTTCTCTGCTACGGTTCAAGACAGGTATATACCGTTACCTTTTAGTTAACAAAAGCTAAAACTTTAATAACCTACATTTGAATTTGCTTTTTAGAACACCATTGATTCATATACCCATTGTACGGGTGGGATATACAGGACGCTAGTTTTTCGTTATTCTTCCTAAAAGAGATCAAAGACCTCCTACGTGGAAGGAAAAAGAAAACGGTAAACTGCTTGCAGCGTGATAATATTATGCTGCCAATTGCGCACGATAGTCCGTGGGCTGCAAAACAGCTACCTTATCAGTGACAGGTTACAGTAGCGGTGCTCTACATTGTAACAAGCAATATTAAAAAAAAACTTAGATCCACGTGGTTTCCATTGCTGTTAGACCATAAGCTGGAGGCTAATTCATTTCCATAGAGTTCAGAGACGCTGTGTGATCTGAATTAGGAAGTGGAGCAGCCATCTCCGAGTTACGACAATATTTGCGAACGGAAGAGGGCAGCCACATGGATTTTTGCTTTAGCAGAGGGATAAAAACTACTCCCCATAAAGATACTATCGCTTATGCACTGAACTGTTCTAAAGGCGACTTTAAAAGAATCGCCAAAAAGGCTAATTCAGTTAGCGACTCGAACAGCTATATTGTATTAACTGTCCCATTGAAAATGATCAAGGTGCTGAACTCCGGAGAGCCAGAGTAGTCAAAACATTGTTTACTAGAGTAAGTACATCACTACAGTTTTACGCACAAATGCATCTGCCTGTTTTCTTACCATGGTTTCAAATAACTGGCATGACATTATTGTTAATCGAAAGACAAATCGGTGTACACTGGCTGATCGGAAATACATGTTTCACTATGAATTCTGACCAGCCTGTGTACAACATGATGTAAAGAACGGTTTCGTTGCAAATACACTGTCCCCCTCGCCCCTGTATGTATACCGTTACCTAGCGACTTGACAAAACTAGGAAAACTCACATGGTACGGAATACCCATTTCCCCGTTTAAGACATTTAAAAGGAAAGCACCTTTGATATTTGCTCCAATGCAAAAGCTGCATCACAGTAACTCGGCCGTTGCAAATACTCCAAATCAGTTGCTGTAGCTGCTGCGCGATAGTTCCCTCTATTCCTCCGGGTTATCCTCGGCCGATCAGGGTCTCTGTTTTCCTGCTCTGAAACATTAACAGCCGAGGCCATGTTGTAGAGACTGGGCTGTAGTTTTTGCGATCCACGGTCTTAAATTCCTCCGAACGCGTGTTTTGATAATCCAGGGTAACAAAGTTTCACTACCGCTAATCTCGGGCTCGCAAAGTACTTCATACTCCTGTTTAGGACGGCGAGTCAAAGTCTGCGCCTTCCATTCCAACATTTCGTGATCCGGAGGTCTCCACAATTTCCCACATCCACTGTTTTCTGTCCTCTCCAGATATGTGTTTTTAAAAGACGAACGTGAAAAGAAGCTCTCCTTGTCCAAAACAGCGACTCCGACCGCTCCGTTGTTGTAGCATTCTGCGCGCTATGCTCTTTCTCAGGCCGCGGGACCGTGCGAGCTCCGGGATTCAATAGCTCAGAAAAAAGGACTCTCTCCATTTGGAGACAGAGGAGGAGGGGTAAGGCAAAAAGGAATCAAAATCCCGCCTCCAGGGCTGTCAGATGGCTGGGGTTTCTTGGATCTGATTGGTTCCAGAAGGGCAAAAATTACTCAGCAAACACGACTATTATTAGCTGCTTAGCAACAGCTCACCAAAGTAGAGAGACCACCCAAGCAGGCAACCCTTGTGTGTGCATCTCAAACTTCAGGGGAGCCTTAAAGAACTCCAGCCTTCTCCAGCTCTGCGTGCAACGCCGCTGGAGTCGGCAGTTTTCCTTCTTTCTGCGTTTTCTGTTTTCCTTGCAAAGTATTTTTCTTCAACTGGAATTTGAATCTCCGCCCGATTCATAAAAATGCTTCAGAGTTTCTCAACTGCAGTTTATGTTTGGTTTTCGAAACTCTTTAAAAGAACATTCTACTGATGTGTTCCCTGGCCTCATGATTTTTTTTTAGCGAGTCCTGGGAGGTCCAGTTGAATTCTCAAGCTCTAACAGCGATAATGACAGCATGGTGGATAACGCCGGAGAACGCGCCCGTGTGTTTCTTCACCTCACCAACCAAATTGTTTTTTTTTGTTGTTCACAGCTGAACCGGCGATCGAAATAAAAAAAAAATCAAGACTTGTCTGCTGCACTGTTTTTTAACACTATCACGCAAAGAATAAATATGTCTGACAGACGCGGAACATGAAACAGATCTAACCATGGTATATCCAAACAACATAAAACATAAAAAGGAAGCGCCTACTGTATATACAGTATGAGGGCAAAAAAATGAGAAAATATGCCGGATGAAAAAATAATGAGCATGTACATAAAACAACAGAATGCAATAATATTTTCCACTTTCTTTCGGCTAAGAGTTTCTCGGAACATTTAAAATTTTGGTGTCAGGTGTGAAGTTCCGTACACATATGTATCTGCATAAAATGTCAATGAAACGTGTGTCCGTAAAGGATGGGTTTTTAGTCACGTGAGTTCACACACCGAAGGACAACTCCCCCAAGAGCAATCAACAGGTTTCTTTAATTCTGAAAGCTTAGCTCGGCAGAAGACTTTCGAAATATGCATCACCGACACTGCGCTGTGCCTGAAGAAGTGCATCGCGTTGCACGGTCGGGTCTACCCCTTGCGCTGTCCAATACCAGTCACCGCTGTCAAGTCAAGGGCCAATGGTAACTTCCAAACAGGCATGCCCTCTTATTATTAATTGTGTCACAAAGCAGTTTCTAGGGAAAGGAACGCGTGGTGAAATATTTTACTTACTGACTAGTTGATATGTTGCCCAATCGAATTAACAACAGGTTAATACATATTCCTGTCTTTTTGAACGATAAAGTTTTCATAAAACGATCAATTCATATAGCATTCGTTGCCTAATGGCATTCTCATGAGCATTAGTGCCATGACAATCCCAATTAAAAACATAAACATTAAGCCTCTTCACTGTTTTCTTCTTTTTTTCCAATCGTTATAAGATCACGTTGGTACAGTATTACGTAACACCTACACTTCAATCCATCAGTTTTATTCAAACTGATTTTTCTTTTTTGGGGGACTTTCTTCCCTCTTCAAGCACCAGTTTGATACAGCTGGTGAATCTACATAATAATAATAATAAGAAGAAGAAGAAGAAGAAGAAGAAATCTTACACTGAGCTATTGTACTTCCCGGGCTTCGCGCGGATCTCGGTAAATCTAGTGTACTAAGGCAAGACACCCCCTGTAATAAGTGTTAATCGAGCGCCACCTAGGAAGTAAAATGTATGTGCAGTTGTAGTTGGAAAACAAAAAGAATCAGTGACACAAACCAGTAACCTGTGTATTGACATTTACAGCGCTCAGTAGCCTATGTTAGTGCAATCGATCTCAAGCATGCACTGAAGGTTTTATTTCTCATACAACTCTTTATGGTTGCAGCTAGCCTCAGAATCCGAGTGACCGAAATTGTTTACGGCATCTGACAAGATAGACTTTAAAAGGCTGTTCGGGCAGCACAAGAGGTGAATACATTGTTGAAAAACGCATTGCTCAGTGAGCTGTAAAACACGCAAGAGGGTTTTTCAATAAGATGTGACAGGTGAAGCCTTACTTTGTACATAACGTGTTGTAAATAAAGATAACGGGACTGCTTTAGCGATGGCGAGCCTAAAACTGTAACCGTGTATTAAAGTAACAAGCTACACGATTATCACTTCGGCGCAACCAAATAGCTTCAAAGATTGTAGGACAGCAGTTGACAATGATATGACGCAAGGTGATCTTATGGAGGGGGGGAATGAGAGGGAAAAACAACCTGGGTTTTGTTTAGGTTTTCTATTTTTTCATAGTCTAATACTGTGAATAAGGCAACTGGGAACTATCCTGTTTATCACTTGCCTATATTCAAGCCAAACCTATAACTGCTGGAAATCGTGTCCGTCTTCGTTTTTATTTCCCTCAGCAAATGCTGAATGATGCTTCAGACGTAAGCTTCGTCCTTTTACCTCACCAGCAGTCCCTGTGGTCTGATTTTGGGTACACAAGGATGAATTACATAAGGGATCTAATTGGTCTTCTTGCCGTAATCTTTGAGAAGAGAGAAATGCAAGCGGTGTCAGTTGAAAGTTTCTGCCTCGACTTGGGTGGCCAGCCGTAGCAGTAGATGAGTCATAGCTGCCCTTAGTTTACTCCACTCCTGATTAGATTGACCGATACGAGTGATTCACTCCCTTGTGATAGAGTTGTTTCTGACCACTCTTCCCGCATTTACATTGGTGAGCCTTTTACTCTTTAATATGCACGTGTTGTCAATACCGATAGCACAATACTGCAATGAATAAAACAAATCACCAAAATACTCCACTATGATATTTGTTAAGGAGCATTAGAGGTTCTGGACTCAAACCGAAAGGATGTAGGTTCGAATCATTGGCATTATAGCTCTACCCTTGAGGTAGAAGCTAATTCATGCAGATTGGTTCAGCAAAATACGTAGATGTATTGTATGAAGAGGTGCAAATGTAAATTGCTTTGAACAAATATGTCAGCCAAATAATATGCAGAAATAGTATTAGTACAATATCGCCATAACAGCAGAGTATACGATGAAAGCTTTTGTTTAATGCAGGGTGACTTTCTAAAAAGTAAAATATTAATGTGAGTACGCTTCAATGACATTTTTCCCATTGATACTACAACAAGGTGTCCCATTGAATCTACAATATTCCCTTCGGTAGCAAGAATGAAGATTCTGTACGGAGAACAGAACCGCATTAATATTTGGGATTTGCCATCCCATTGTTAGGCAATTGAGATTGGAAAAAATACCACGTCTGAAAATGACAAGCATAGAAAGACAAGAAACAGAGACAACGATTGAAGGACTAAAGCTGACACATCCTGCCTAGTTCCACATCAGCTCTAACCATATCTACTGAAACGGTAGAAAATGCATTCATAACCTACAGGAAAAGTTCCATTTCGAAAACCTTTGTTTATACCCGGAAACTGACTTGATGGAGGGGATGTTGGAAAGGGACAGTTTTTCATTCTTGAGATTCATAACCGGTAAACGGCTACAGGGGTAGCACTATGAGGTAAAACAGCCTCCTTTCAAATGATGACTACAGGGACAGGGGTGCAGAAGCACCTTCCGAATAGTCTGAATACATACAAGTGTGTACTCCTTCGCAGACCAGCTCTCGCAACGGCTGCGACCATCCATTGGATCAGATCACAATCGCTTTGCAACCACAGAAAGACGGACTTTCAAAGAAAGGGACAAAGGAGTTTCAAAGATAAATAATTGGCCGAATGGAACCCCGCCCATTTACACACTGTCTGGTAATGCCGAAGACACGAAATAACCTGGAGAAAAAAAAACGATCGTGATCTAAACGGAGGAGGGCGTGGTAGTACCGGTGTTGCTCTTTACAGTAGCTGATACTGATAGTCGTAGCGGTCCGCGCATCGCATGGTTTTTAAGTGTGTGTATTTTCGTTTTTTGCGCACATGCATCTACAAGTTCTAGACACAACTGATAGTCGGGATTAATTTCCCACAACTTTCCACGCGTCTTCACTGCATGAAGTGATTGTTGTGCGACTGGGAGCGCGGGTTTTGCCTTCGCCTGGATGCGACAGTTATCCCCCTCAGTTGTCGGTGGTGTTATTTCCTATCGGTCTCCAATAATACCCCCTTGTCCAGCCTCGCACTCTCCTTCGACGCGCCACGGGTTTTCATGAACGCCCTGTTCTGCGCATGCAGTGGCGGTAGAGGAAGCCCACACCACACACCGAGAGTGGCGGAAAGGCACTACTCAAGCCAGCTTGACATAATAACGCAACGAATCTGATCGGGTTAAAAAGGAGAACTCTCAAGTGACACATGCTTCTCCCAGAGCTTCAGCGAGCCGCGTCGCCATAAAGAGGACAGTAACGCGTAGCGACTATAATTTGACAACGGGTGCATTTTAATGTGCATGGAATATTTGATTTATTATAGAGCGATCCGCCTCACTGTAAAACAAAAAAAAAAACGCTTTTTATTTTGTCCCAAAAGTGCTCACTTTACAAAATGCACATTTTAATTACATTCACCGTGCCTATCGATTCTTGGTCACTAATATCACTGTTATTATAATTTGCATTGCTCTAATATTGCGTACAATGGCATACTCACCATCAGACGAAATATAAACATAAAAGGAAAGAATGGCTGAACATGACAACCATGCTAATCTTCTTAAGTGATTAGTGCAATATATGTATGCTATATCTTAACGTGAAAGGTTTCCAGATTACTGTGTGCAGAACAAGCAACACACGCTTGATTTCCAGATGTAGTGACAGCAGTAAAGGTAAGACGTAAATTAAAAAGCAGTCACTTATAAACTACTAAATACATGTTAATACTGTGATGCTGGAAAAACCATAGAACAGTCTTTGGTAAATTCAGATTAACAAGGTACTGAAAAGGAAGATGTGTAAATCCCAAATTATGTTTTACAGTAAATAGGTATCA